CAACCTAAGAGGCCAAGCATCGAAGAATAGATTCTTTTGAACTATGGCGCTGGAGAAGACTCTTGAGAGTCCCTTGGACTGCAAGAAGATCAAATCAGTCAATCCTAAAAGAAATCAACCCTGATTGTTCCCTGGAAGGCCAGATAATGAAACTGAAGCTCAAATACTTTGGCCACCAAATGAGAAGGGAGCACTCACTGGAGAAGACCCTGATGCTGGGAAAGATTGAAGGCCAAAGAAGATGGGGATGGCAAAGGATGAGATGTTTAGACAGTGCCATAAATGCAACGAACATGAAATTGAGCCAACTTCAGAGGACGGCGGAAGACAGGAGGGCCTGGCGGGATCTGGTCCATGGGGTCGCGAAGAGTCGGACTCGACTGTGCGACTGAACAGCAACAAAAAAGAATCAAAGGGACTCTTTATGGGCAATTTGTTTCACAGTGCTGGGGCCACTATAGTAAGTGACCATGAACACACCACAACTGTTTTTCTGGGAGATGGAATTACAAGGTGCGGTCTCACAGAATGCAATTAGTGCCCAGCTTCAATGCTAAAACATAGGAAAAAAACATACAAACCATATCTACAATTGTCAATATTTATCTGAGGAAGCCAAGACAGTCCATGCATAGTTATTGCTACAAAGTATTTATTTATTTAACTGGATTTGTATCCCACCCTCCCTACATAGCAGGCTCAGGGCAGGCTCCAGACATACTGATATGCAATAATGTAGATTTACAATTAGAACAAATTCATTAGGACAACATTTTAGGATGAAAGACAGTAACTACATCAAGATTACCTAGTGAGATTCATGACTAAATGAAGATTTGAATCTTTGCTTCCAATACAGCTTACTATAACACAATGATGCTATGATTATATTACTGATTTATACCTTTTAATATCTGAAGAAATAACCAAAATATGTATTTCAAGAAGCTGGTATTATTACTTATGCCAGCTGGCCTATAGATACTTGCCCTAGTTTATGTACAACCCCACTAAATGTTCAGCTGCTATCATTTTCCATTACAGTCTTAAAGCTCAAAGCTGTGACTTTTTCCACATGCAGATCCTTTCAGTTATGTCCTTCAGTCCTCTGCATTTCACTTTGATAGCAAACCTGAAGGAGCTTCCAGTTCAGGGATGCACTTACATTCATTAGCCATTTATAAGCCTGTTTTCTTATACCTTGTGGATCCTTATTTATTTATTTATTTTTCGAATTTCTACCCTGCCCTCCCGGCTGAAGCTGGCTCAGAGAGGCTTACATAAAAACAGATAAGTTACAGTACATTAAAACATGTTACAACTAAAACAATTCTAAAACCATAATAAAGTGCTAGTGGTCATTGTTAATATAACGGTAATAGCCATTATTCAGAGTTCTCAGCTCACAGTCACTGTAAAAGGTCCCACAGGGCCCTGGTCTCCTCCCGGAGCTCATTCCACCAGGATGGGGCCACCACCGAGAAAGCCCTGGTCCTGGTTGTCGACAGCCTCGCCTCCTTAAGACCCGGGAGGGCCAGCTGGTTCTGAGCCCCTGACCGCAGTGCTCTCTGGGGGACCAGCAGCTTGAAACTAATCCAGTATGCTACTGACAAGGCAGTGCAACGCCTTCAGCACAGGCTGTATGTGCTCCCTTCTAGAGAGCCCCATCAAAAGCCTGGCTATGGCATTTTGCACCAGCTGCAGCTTCTAGATTTGGGACAAGGGCAGCCCCGTGTAGAGAGCATTACAGAAGTCCAATCTTTTTTTTTTAAACTATTTTATTTATAGCGTTATGTCATATTATACATCCATATACATAAAAGTTAATTTATACATTAGGAGTCTTTTACACAAGGTTATTTTCCCACCCCTTATACACTCTTATCCATCTTTTTTGGAAAAGGGTTTCATCTTTTCCATGAATTAACATAGTTAATTTGTCCATTTCTGCAGTATCCAGCAATTTCCAGGCTATTTCCTATCTAGAGGGTAATCTGTCAGTTTTCCAATAACGTGCTACCAATATTCTTGATGAAGTTAAAATATATGTTAACAAATATCTGTCTTCTGTCTCATAACAGTCTGGAATTATATTTAATAGGTAAATTTCTGGTAATAAGTTAAGGTTAACATTCAATATTTCTAGTATTATCTTTTTTACAGATCTCCAAAATTTTTGCATTTTACCACATTTCCACCACATATGAAAGAAGGTTCCAATGTTCGTCTTACATTTCCAACATTTTAGAAATTGTGGCCATACATTTAGAAATTCTGTCTGGTGACCAGTACCATCTATGAAACATTTTATATAAATTCTCTTTGAATTATGTTGCTCTGAGACATCTCATTGTTTTCCATATTTTGGCCCAGTCATCGAAATCTATATAATATCCTATATCAAGTCAAGTCAAGTCAGCCTTTATTGGCATAAATTATCAGAACCATTTATACATTTTAAAACCAGTTGAAAGCACATATATAAAAAATTCTAAAAGAACCTTTGGCGCAGCTTTAAAGCCAAGCAGAGAAACTTAGCCACCTTCTCTGTAATGTCCGGGCTGAGATCTCTTAAAAGTCTATTCACCTTAAGTGCATCAGAACAAGCACCCATACTGGTTAAAAGAGATAGCAAATATGTGATCCTTAGGTCCATGTACAGATTACAATGCAGGAGAACATGAGTGATAGATTCCACGCATTTCTTTCTGCATGGGCAGTATCTGGCCAGATGAGAAACCTTGTTGAATCTGCCGAATAAGATGGCGGATGGCATGGCATTACATCTGGCCAGGGTGAACGCTCTACGTTGTTGAGGGACCTGCAGAGAGGATAGATACGCAGCCATCATCCCTGTTGTAAGGGGAATCTCAGAATTCAAGGGAGAGCAGGTTTTATTGGCTAAACTATATAAATTTTGGTGTTCCGAGTCTAACAACCTGTTTTTAATCTGTTGGAATGCAACCGCAAAAGGCAACATGAACAGGGATTCCAAAGAGAGACCTAATACTTTAATTTTCCCTTCGATATATGCTGACCAGTTTGAGAGGTTGAGCTCGGGAAGCATGTGATGTATGAGGCTCCCATGTTCAAAGTTATAATGAAGGCAGAGCCAGTATTTAAAGGTTGTAAGCCACGCACAAGTTTTCATCAGGGACGAGCCAGTTTCCAGATATATGACCGCGTTCGATATACAATTTGGTAGGGCCATGATTTTACGCAGAAATTTGGATTGGACCTGTTCTATGGCATGGTCAAAAGGTCTAATCCAGATTGGGATGCCGTACAATAACTGGGAGCTGACTTTGGACCTAAAAATTTTGGTTGCAGCTGGCACAAATTGGTTGCCCCTGCGGTAAAAGAAACGTGCTATGGCCGATGCACTATATCTTGCATCCACGCTATCATAGATGATTTGACAATATCATTTTGCATATAGTTTTCCAACAAGAATTTATATATCCTTTGAATCATCTTATCGTTGGATGAAAGCCAAATTTTATCTAATTCATTTCTTGCTGTGTAAAAACCTAGGGTTTTATCTTTACTATAGATTTTAATTGCATACTTTCCCACCATGTCAGATTTATGTTTAGTAATTGTTATAATTGAAGACTTTTTAGTTTATTATTTTTATCTAATAATTTTTCATAAGGTTCCTTCTTATTTTCAGTCAGCAAAGTGGGTTTAATAAATGCTTCTAGGGGGGATACCCATCTAGCGATTTTCGTATAATATTTTTTTTACATTTCACCAGCACTTTATCAATGCACTTCTTAATATATGTTGATGGAAGTCTGAATGTATTTTATTCTTATTATACCAAACATAAGCATGCCAACCCATTTTGAGGTCATGGCCTTCCAAATTTAATGTTCTTTTGTCTTCTAGTGTTAACCAACCTTTAATCCAAAGTGCGGTGGCCGCTTGGTTACAGTAGTCCAATCTTGAGGCTTGTAGCGCCCGGTCCAGATCTTCTAGTTTGGAGCTGGACTGAGTGCCCAACAACAGATAGAGCTGGGTGTCATCCGCATACTGGTGACAACCCAGCCCATGCCTCCAGGCAATCTGGGCAAGGGGGCACATATAGATGTGAAAAAGCATCGTGGAAAGCACTGCCCCTTGCACTAACAACTAGACTTCTGTTCATTTTGAATGCAACAGACTAACATGGCGGCCCCTCTGAAATTATGATCATTTTATTACTCCTTTTATTAGAGACTTTTAATTATTATTATTATTCTTAAATTGAAGCCACTCCAGAGGCTTCAGGTGACAAGCAGGAAAAAAGGATTATTTGCTCCTTTTTTGACTTCATAGTTTATGTAAGGGATGAGGTGATCAATTTACAACAGAATTTGCTGTGCTATCCTTAACTTTTACCGTCTTATCTAAGCATTAAACCATTTTTAAAAAAATAAACACATCATCCACTCAGGGCAGCATACATAACTACTCACCTACTTTATCCCCACAACAATACTGTGAGAATTTGGCTCAAGATTAGCTAATATAGGGTTGCCCACCTCCAGGTGGGGGCTGGAGATCTCCGGCTTTTACAACTGATCTCCAGCTGACAGAGATCAGCTCCCCTGGAGAAAATGGCTGCTTTGAAGGGTGGACTCTATGGCACTGTACCATGCCGAGGTCCCTCCCCTCCCCAAACCCCACCCTCTCCTGGATCCATCCCCAAAGTTTCCAGGTATTTTCCAACCCAGGCCTGGCAACCCTAAACTAACAGGAATACCTTCAAGGCCATGACTTCAAGATCTATCTGTGGCATCCCTAGTTAAAACGATCAGGCAGTAGCGTTGTGAAAGACCTTCACTAAACTGGGGCAACCATTAGTAAGGAATCAGCCCAGGAGAGCCGCTGTGTGTCGGAGTGACGGCCTACCTCAGTATAAAACGAGGCTATGTGCTACATTGCTCCCTTTCATTCTTCTTTCTTCCAAAGACAGAGAAAAATCTACCCACTGGTCTATTACGGGTAAAATTTACTTACGCTCTTTCGATCCACAAGAAACTGGTAGAAGTCCTTGCTGGGCGCCGGGGCTTGTCCACGCACCTCATACAAAACATCTGGAAGAAGAGACGCCATTTTAGGACGCCAGCAGCTAGTAGCTATGGCAACCAGGAAGGGGCGGGGATAGGAAGAGGTCACGGGAAGCCCGCCCTCCCTCTTAAAGGAGACGCAGTTCTTAACGCTTCCAGTCAACGGGGCTTTACTGTCGCAACGGTGGGAAGAGGCCCCTGAATCGCCACGGCTGAAGGAGGCAAAACCACCACCGAGGACGCCACCTGTGGCCTTGCTGACCCCGGGGGAATAACGCCTGCGCGCACCCCGGGGGTGACGACCCCGGCGGAGGGATACCTCTTTTTCGGCCAAGGAACGTCTGAGACAGGCGGAGGGGGACGGGAAGGATAGAACTACCGTCGATACGAAGGGAGGGGGCTGCCGGCCAAGCGGCAGGAGCGCCTAGGCGGTTAGGGGCAGAACACCCGCTGCTGGCAAGGGGGGGGGAGAGCGGGGGCCCCGGGCCCCTTTGGGGGTAAAGTAGTCCCCAGCCTCCCCCTCCGCCGCTGGAGGGGGTACGGGAGCGGAGGTAGACGGCGCACTGATCGGTGCTGCGGCTTCAGCTGATAATTGAAGGGAAGAGGCGCCGGGCAGGACAGAAAAAGAGCCGGAGCCACTGGGGAAGCACGGAGCGCTTTCGCGGAGGCCGCGTCGGGACAAACTAGGTACTGTGGGGCTCTGTGGCTGGCGGGGCGCGGGGGGCCTGTTTGTGTCGCCTGCGCTTGTAGGGGGACCCAGATCACCTTTTCTCCTTCCTTGTTAGCCACAAAAAGTGGATGGGAGGGTTGACACGAAAGGGGCTGTTGTGTGGAGCATGCCAGGGAAGGCTTGTCGTTGGGGTAGGCCTGGGGCCCGTGTGTGCGTGTGTGTGTGTGTGGGGGGGAAGTAGGGGGAGGGGACAACGATACGGTAGTGGTGGCTGTTTGAGGCCCTTGGACGGGCTTGAGGAAGTCCTCCCCCTACAGGGAGGATTTTTATCTTGGTGGTGGGGAGTGATAAATATCAGGTTCTTCCCATGGGGAGAAGGGGGTGGGGGGAAGGAGTGGTGAAAGAGGAGCCAGGGTGGCAGAAATGGAGCTGACAAAATGGCCAAACGGCTGCTTGAAGCTTGTCGTGATTCAGCCTTTCTTTTCTCTCTCTCCCCCCCCCCCCCCGCCATGAGTCATCCACCAAATCTTCTGGAAGGTACCAAGCAGGAGAAATCAGAGAAAGGAATCTGAAGAGCAGACAGATTGCATGTCATGGGTATCTTCTGCCCCCCCTTCCCCTTCCCCTTTGTGGTTTGGGCCTAGCTTCTTTTTCCTCCTCCCCCTGCACTGGTTAAGATTAGCTTTGACTGCTAAATACAAAAGGACAGTGTCAGTGTTGACACTGCACCCGATTTGTATTCGCTCCGGCTCGGTTTCTCCCCTCTCTCACCACTGTTTCCCAAGGGGGCTCTCTCCCCCTCTCCCTGATATGTTATTTACTTGATGAAAGATCTACCGTGAACCCCTTTGAATGCACTTGAGAGAGCGGGGGAACAAACAGTCCAGCCCCTTTAGCCAAATAACGACAACAACAATAAAAAAAAAGAAGAAGAAATGCTAAATGATCAGGTGCCTCCATATTGGCCAGCCTTCTGGGGCCGGGAGGAAGGGGGGAAAGCTGCACTCTACTCAGTGTAAAAAGGGTGCTTGTTTAATCTGGTCCTGCTTGGCCCTGTGTCCCAATGCCGAAGCAGATTGTTTTCACCCCGGTAATTTTAGAGGTGGTTCTCGTCGCTGGGGCCTTCGAGAAGAAACTAGCTTGTGGCTTGTTTGCATAACGCGTCGTATTTAGATATGCACATTCTTCTGTTCTGCTCCTCCTCGTCCCCCCCCCCCCCCCCCCCCCCTAAATTTTTATTAGATAATTTAACATTAGTCAAACGGATCTCGCGGCTTTCACCAGCTTTCTAGGCCGATCGGCTTGCTCTACAACTTTTATTGTTCCTTCCTCCAAATGGCCAGTCCTGTTAGGGTGGGGGAGGTTCATCGCAGCGGGGTTTTAAAATATCAGGAATTCGAAAAAGTTTAGATTAGGAGCAAGGAAACATTAGGGTGGGGAGAGTGGAAAGTTTTGTCAAGGGCTTTAGGGAAAAAACATCGATGTATGGAACAAAGGTCTTGTCTGTATTACAGAGGCCTACATATTAGGCCTGACTGTGTCGCATTTACTCAGAGGAAAGAAATGAAAGCTTGGCATGGGTTTAAATGTGTTCCATGTCTGGCATACATTTCAGGAACGCTACTAGCATTTGTTTTCAGGTTCATTTTGATAGTCCAGCCATATACCAATGTTTCTTGTTCTGGCTTTCTTAATGTAAGCAGTCTTTTTAATATTCTCCATCCTTTTCATCAGTAGCAAGTATTGATTTAATATTGATTTAAGGCCCCATCCCAATTCTTCTTTGACAAAATGATTTCCCTAACACTGACTTCATGTAGATATTGACTCTTGTGACAGTACCAGGCCTGTCATTTTTTTTAAAGAAAAGACAAAGGGGATTAAAAGGCAGAGCTAGATTCTCTGCGTCAAAGAAGGTGGGATCTTGCAATCCATAATGAAGGACTTGTCTTCCAAACAGGGTTTGACAAGGGTCATCTTTCCTTTTAGGACTGGAAAGGTGTGTGTGTGCATGCACACAGAGGGTGGCTTTTGAAAGCCTGGGCTTCAGGCACTATTGCCTGCTTATTTTGTTTAGGAAAATTATTTTCCAGATCTTGTCCTTGCCATATTTCAACTTTGTGAGTTACCCAGAATAAAGATTTCTTTTTTAAAAAATACTTTGAATATAGTAGGAATTAATTGCATTTTGAAAGTTTGAGAGCTTTAGATCACTGTAGTTTTCGTTATATGCTTAATTAATATGTGTATATATTTAAGAAGGAACCTTTGATTAATTTAACTATTTCAATTAATTTTAAAAGCTTCTCTACTCTCATATTTTATACTTTGGATTGGATTTCATGGATAATTTTATCTGGTGGAGGGTGTGTATAATTTTTCACTGGCTTCCTGTCCTATTGCAGATTTCCAAAAACCCCTGCTATTTCTGGGTGGGGGGGGGTCTCCCTGTGCCCTAAGAATGGCATTTTGATGAGTATTTTGGACTGCAGAAGGAAGGGGTGTAAGATAGTTGCACTTCGTGGACAGGTATCATTTCTGTCTGCTGATACTTCTTCAGGATCCAAGCTTTTGTCTACAGTTCTGAGCACATGGGAGTAAACTACATTTAGATCACCAGGGCTTACTTATGAGGAAGTATGGTTGGTGTGAGGCTGGAGCTTGTATACATATACTTGAAAGCAGGACTACTGTCACTTTCCAAAATTGCAGATGTGACCAACTAAGTGAAAATGAGAGCCAAACTCTATTAAGGGAATCCTATGTTTGTTTGTAATAAGCCCCACTGAACAGATATGAACAAACATGTACAGGATCAGGCTGTGTTTTCAAGTGCCTTTTCTTAAGCACACCCTAACACTTTATTTATAGCACTTCATTTTCTATAACTCTTCTAAGACATAAAGTTGTCTAAAGTTTCAGGAAACAAGTGCTATCCACAAGGTAACTGGGCTTGTGGGGGAAGCGTGAGAAATAGCAGAAACCATCTCTTTGTTGTTGTTGCTGTTCAGTCGCACAGTCGAGTCAGACTCTTCGTGACCCCAATTGACCAGATCCCGCCAGGCCCTCCTGTCTTCCGCCGTCCTCTGAAGTTGGCTCAATTTCATGTTCGTTGCATCTATGGCACTGTCTAACCATCTCATCCTTTGCCGTCCCCGTCTTCTTTGACCTTCAATCTTTCCCAGCATCAGGGTCTTCTCCAGTGAGTGCTCCCTTCTCATTTGGTGGCCAAAGTATTTGAGCTTCAGTTTCATTATCTGGCCTTCCAGGGAACAGTCAGGGTTGATTTCTTTGAGGATTGACTGATTTGATCTCCTTGCAGTCCAAGGGACTCTCAAGAGTCTCCTCCAGCACCATAGTTCAAAAGAATCTATTCTTCGGCGCTCGGCCTTCCTTATAGTCCAACTCTCACAGCCATACATGACTACTGGGAATACCATTGCTTTGACCATGCGGACTTTTGTTGGCAGGGTGATGTCTCTACTTTTTATCATGCTGTTTAGGTTCGCCATCACTTTCCTCCCAAGGAAATCTTTTAATTTCATGGCTGCTGTCACAGTCTGCGGTGATCTGGGATCCCAGGAACGTGAAGTCTGTCACTACTTCCACGACTTCCCCTTCTATTTGCCAAGGAGTGATGGGGCCGGATGCCATGATCTTAGTTTTTTTGATGTTGAGCTTCAAGCCCACTTTTGCGCTCTCCTCTTTTACTCTGAGCAAGAGGCTCTTTAGATCCTCTTCACTTTCAGCCATTAGAGTGGTATCATCTGCATATCTGAGGTTGTTGATCTTTTCCCCAGCAATCTTAATTCCCGCTTGTGATTCATCCAGGCCAGCATTTCGCATGATGTACTCTGCATATATATTAAATAAGCAAGGTGACAGTATACATCCTTGTCGTACTCCTTTTCCTATGCTAAACCAATCAGTTGTTCCATATCCGGTTCTAACTGTCGCTTCTTGGCCCTTATACAGGTTTCTCAAGAGACATGTGAGGTGGTCTGGTACTCCCATCTCTTTAAGGCCCTGCCATAGTTTGTTGTGATCCACACAGTCAAAAGCTTTAGCATAGTCAATGAAGCAGAAGTAGATATTTTTCTGGTACTCTCTTGCTTTCTCCATAATCCAGCGAATGTTGGCAATATGATCTCTCGTTCCTCTACCTCTTCGAAACCCAGCTTGTACTTCTGGTAGTTCTCTATCCACGTACTGTTGAAGCCTAGCTTGTAGGATCTTGAGCATGACCTTGCTAGCGTGTGATATGAGTGCAATTGTGCGATAGTTTGAACATTCCTTGGCATTGCCCTTCTTTGGGATTGGAATGTATACTGATCTTTTCCAATCCTGTGGCCACTGTTGCGTTTTCCAAATTTGCTGG